GGATGTAGATGGACCAGTAAATAGAAAGCTTTGCCTTCTAGCTCAGCTCCCTCTTCACCACGACGGTCCGGTCAGTGAAATAGAATTATTTAGCTATAATAAACACAGATGTTCTCAGTAAAGTGAACTAAATAGTCGACTAAATGCATTTCTGTTAATAAGTAATAAGTCAATATAATGTGTTAGGTAGCCAATGCATCCATATAGAAAGAAGAAACCAGCTGGTCTTGTCTGTATTATGTCCAAATGTATAAAATAAAAACACTTAAAGTCTACTGCCATGCTATCATCTCTGTGAGGATGCTTTGAGCTAAATGCCTTATTTTCATAGACTATATAAAAAGTAGACATAGCCACGTTGACATCACCCATTGGACTACAATTTTGAAGCTTCAAGTTTTGCACTTTTGCAGTCACCATCCTGTTTTTTTGGAGCTAGAAGTGACCATATGTGGATGAAAGGGTGGAGCTGTGTAGGAGTGAGGGGTGGATCTGACTGAGAATCCATGACACCACCATGTCAGCAACTTGTCAATGACAAGGTGGCCACGCCTGAAAGCATATCCTGCTTTATCGTCTGTTTTACTAGTGATGGGATCATAATTTACAAAATGAACATCACGCTGTACTGGAGAAGACTTGAAACTAGTGATTGAGACCATGAACTCATTAGGAACATGTTTACTGAGGTAATAAATAAGGGTGATAAATAGAATCATTGTCTCATTGACTTTTATACAATGGGACTTCTTTTTGCAACCAGTGGAGTCACCCCCTGCTGCCCATTAGATAACTCCTTGGGTGTTTTACGTTAGTATGCAAACATCTGCATTAAACATACTGAGTCTAATGGGAATGGGATTAGCTTGGCTGATCATTAACAAATTATTGGACAAATTTGACCTGGTGATGGCGCTACATGAAAGGTTACAATTCATCCACTGGGACCCATGAGCGCCTGTGCAACGTTTTATGACAACCATCTCCAAACATCCAATCGCCTTGAGGTTAATGCAATTATAATCAAAAATGTCAGCCTCTTGGTACTAGGGGACAACTGAAGACAGCAGGATACACATTCTGCATGCTAGTGTTTATACACTGTTAGTGGTGTTAAAGCTGAACAATGAAAATAAACAAACCAACAGAACAGCTGTTTTCAGTAATTACTTATCTCACATGGAAGTTTAGACAGTTTGGAGACATGATCCTGTCCAAAGTGCAAGCGGACTTTGAACTCCAGTTTATACCAGTAATACATCTTATTCAAAAAGGCGCCTTTCCAAATGCCCAGATCACCTTACAGAGCATAAAAATAAAATGCCAACAAGTAAAAAACATACAATTATTCCATCTATTAGAGGGCTGAGAGAGATTTTTCCAAATTTTCAAAATATGAAGTGCAATGGCTAACCATCTAAAGTGAACATAAATGGCTCAGTTTGTTATTTATCTCTTTGCAGGTAGGTTTTGAGCACACAGGACACTTTTAAAAAACTGGCGTCACTGGCCAAGTCACACGGTTGGTTTGTGAGCGGAGACCTCAGTGAGCTGCAGGCTGGAGGGGACTAGAGAGTGGCTGCCCTTTAGGAGTAATATACTACACCCAGTATGGATGCTGTCTGTCTCCCTTCCCATTTGCAGAGCACATTTAATGTTTTCATGGTCACACATGACCTTTAAAACTCCCAATCTCTTTAATATCACTTGTGATATATGTGCCGTTGCATTTGATTTGAATACTGTAAACTCAGAGCTTTCCTTGTCCCCTAAGGGCCCCTGTTTATTATTATTTTTTACATGACTAAATAAAATTCCCTTTAAATACCTTTGAAGTAATTTTCTAATAAACCAATTTACCAAACAATGTTAAGGTTAGCCCTGGTTAATTGAGCTGCAGAGATGTAAACAGAGTCTTTTAATCCAGCAGTTAGTATGCAAACAAAACTTTTTATTGTTTTGTTTGTCTTCACAACACAGTACTGCAGGATTAACCTTCACTTCATCTTTGTTTTTAGACTTTTAATCTCCAGAGCTCTTATCAGAATATCCACAATTAGTTATTTATTTCCTCTCTCAGAACCTCTTCAAACACTTGACTGAATCGAGTGCATTTGTCCATCCACACTTGCGTGGACTGTGGGAGCATTAAGATATAAATAGAAACAATGCACACATAAATATTACAAGAGGCGTCACTGTTATAGCAGTAAATCTGACGACAAAATGTTTACACCCCCCTTTTTTGGAAATCCTAATTGCACCTGGATATCCCAAAGGTGCATTATTTATGTATGAGACTCCCTCTGTGAGTGTCCTGTTTTCACTCAGTCACATATTTCTTATTTAAGCCTGAATTACCTTTTCATGAGCAGCATATGTGATCTGTGTGACGTATGTTGGACGGGGAGAAAAATGAATGCAGGGATACAAACAGTTTGTAAAGCCCGTTCAAACATGGCATTAAAACATTTTTCATCAGCTCATACTGCGGAGAGCTCTAATAATTATATAACATGATGACACAGATCAGTTCACTGTGGATAATCTGGCTGGAAAGATGCACACACAAGCAAATCCAATAGAATAGAGGATCATAGAGTTTATTCAACAGCCAGAGACTCAAATTCCTCTGAATACAAGCATAAAGAGAAAGTTAAACTGCAACACGGGCCTTTGTATTTAGTTATTTTGCTATAATAATGTTTACAGTTATAATCTATGTTAATGCATCAACAAAAGGTCAAAACAGTAATGAACCAAAGCACTGAAGAAAGGAACAGCATATTGTTTTAGACCTTACAAGATAACAAGCTAATAAATTGGGTTTATTGTTCTGTAATTGTTGCTTCAGGCTACGTGATGTCTGAAAGATTTATTTTATTTGTATCTGATCTTAGATTTAAAATGATGATTGAATTAATTAGCAATGTTGTTGACAGTATATATTACAGTTTCCTGTAATAGTTCAAATTCTCAGACCCCAGCAGCTCCTTTAATTCACTTTCTTGCATACATTTTCATACATACAGTTTGTGTTTTCTCAGTATGTGTTTGCAAGATTTTTTTAAAAATCTAATTCACAGATCCACTTATACTCTGGCCATAAATCTTTATCTTTCCACACATCCAAGAGAAGCTGGCTGCAAACAAGATTGTAGTCAGTGTCCAGCAGTGTGTCTACATCCAGGTCCTTTAAAAAACATATAACTTTTTTCATGCAATTATTTCTGTCATTTATACAGAGCATATTCAAACTCAATCCTCTGTCTCTGACAATGCAAATGCTGTTGTACATATATAAAGAAAATTAATAACAATGCCTAGGATCAGTGGTGGAGAGTAACCAAGTACATACTCGAGTACTGTATTGAGGCAAATAACTGTTTGCTATGTAAAGATATAGTCAAGTAATGGCAACCTGAGCAGAGAATGGAGTCACGTTACCTCTGTGTGTGTGTTGTATTCCGAGCTTCTCTGTTCTTTGTTGTGGTAGACATACTGGCTGCGCGTCCATGTTAGTGCACGTGAGTCCCTGTGTGTGTATCCCACTGGCGAGCTAATCGCCTCCGCTCTGTACTGGGCTTGATGGTTGCTGCTGTTAATGGCCATGACATTGTCATGAAAGTTTAGCACCCACCCTCCAGTTCCCTCCTACGTAAATACCATTAACCCCGTCAACACTGTTGCCATTGGTGGCAATGTTCACGCTGTTAGCACTGTTTGCACTGTTAGCATCATTAGCTGCTAGCTGCCTGCTCAGCTACCTTCATGTTGACAGCCATGGGCAGAAAATCCCAGCTCAGAATCATTCATATACTCTGCATGTCATATACTCTCCTGTGAGTACAGTTTTGAGATGCACATGTTCTCTCTCTGTATAGTTTCTGGTGTCAAAAGCATTCTTGCTTCCATTTGTACTCTGTTTTGCTGTCTGTAGCAGTATTGACCAAGCGTGTTTGAGCGGCAAGTAAACAGTCTGTGTGGAGATCAAAAGAGGCAGAATGCATTGGCCAAAATGCAGTCTGTGGATAGGCTGGCTCTCGTCTGACAATGACTCAATTTTATACTAGCTTTTTAAAACTGTATCTGCGTTCATATGCAAATATGTTTTTATAAAGATTAGCCAAAATGACTGTAGCACAGAAGAAGAAGTCTTGGCGCAGATATCCGTTTGCTACACAGGATCTCCTGAAATATTGGTCTTTGCTCCCAGAGGCTTATCGTCGTCATGATAGTCAATGGGTTCTGAGATTGGTTTTAAGGCTATTAAATTAGCATTGTTGAAGGAAGTGTGAGACCCACGATTTGCAATGGCAATATCTGTAAACTTTAAACAAACTGCAAAATTAAAATCAATACTGAGCGCAATAACTGCAGGAAGTTTAGCTAAAAGCAATTTGGATGAACCTCCTGTGAATTTTTCATCAGAGATCAGGGCTGCCGTTTATAGCGAGTGTGGGCTCTATGAATATAGGTTGTGTTTGGATCTTCACCAGAAAGGCCTCGTGACCACGCTGCACCCTGAAGCTTCGGCAACCCCTACTAGCGGTCGGCACCCCCATGCTGGGATCCAGTGCATTATACCATCAATAATTATAATCAAATAATATAGTACACGGTATATTCTTGTGAAATGGTACTTTCTGCATATTACTTCTGGCACATTTTGATGCTGATACCTTTGTTCTTTTACTTGAGTACAATTTTGTATGCATGACTTTTACTTGTAATAGAGTAGGCTATTTTTCCTATGCTATCTCTACTTCTCTACTTCCATCTCTGCCAATAATGATAATATAAATGTAAAATGATAAATGAAAAGTATAAAATAAATCTTCAAGTGTAATTGTTTTATATTATTTAGGTAATGATAATTAATAAGTACATACATATCTACTGTTAATTTTTTATCTTTTTAAAAAATAAAAAGGTACATACTCCTTTAAAAGAGGCCCCACCCTCTTTTCCATGCGCATGCGCAGTGCTGTGTCTGAGTCACGTGAAAGCGTGTTTCCGTTCGCAGGCAGCAGCTTCAGTCTGGTGAGTTTGTGTTCAGTATTTTCAGGCAGTCTGACACTCTGTTACCGACAGTCAGCCCCTCAGACGGTAGAGGTGAATCTCTGAAAGACTTCAGACAGACAGCGGGTCAGAAAATTCACTCACTGCGGGTTTTAGGAGACAAAACTCGGCACAGAAGCTCCGCGCCTGTAGGAAGCGTCCCATTCAGCTTCACTCAGGACAAACCTTTCTGTTAACAAAACATTTATAAATCATACAGAAGTCTCTTCACTGTCCTGACAGCCCGAAACATGCAGCTACACTGAGACTGTTTGCCTTTAATACATCTTATCATGAATTCAGGTTTAGTGTGCAGTGAAAGTTTGTGACACAGACTGTGCAGGAAGTAGATTATTATCATGCTTTATATGAAATATGACGCAGTCCAGTTTCTACTGTGGCGAATTTATTCATTTTAAGTATCACATTGTTGGCGAAACTTAATGTCCTAATATGAGAAATAGCTACAACTATCAGTCAGAGAAGGCAATAACTGTGTGGGTGATAATTCACTGTTATTTATTGTGATTCCAGATTGAGATAAAATTGTCACATGGAGATTCACAGACCTCATGTCTGTGTGAATTATTACTATTAATACTGATAGTATTTTTTGGAAAATAACAGTAATATGTTCAGCTGAAATGGGAAAATATCTTGTGACTGAGTGGGATGAACACTTAAACTTTATTTCTGGTTCATATGTTGATTATTTTTGATACTGCCTGCTATGAGGATAACACTTGATAAGTACATGGCAAATTACTTAAAATCGTAAACTGATCATTTAAATTTTTGATCAAGTAATTGTTTTGGTACAATTTTTTATACTAATTTAACAATAGCTGGCAAGCTTGTTTATTTGTCAATATGTCTTTTACTTTAAAGTGATAGTTCGGATTTTTAAAGTGGGGTTGTGTGAGGTATTCAAAAGATGTCAGTCGACAAGCTCCCAGTTTAGAGAAGCAGGCAGGAGTAATGCCATGGAAGCTAAGCAATGCACTGCTGTGGAGGTGTCAGCAACAAAATATATTTTAGCCACCAAAAAAATCAACGTTAGCTTAAGTGTATGCTATATTTATAATATTTTCACTGCTTAACCTTACTGTCAGATATCTGTGTACGATGGGGAAGCTGGTAGCAGCTTCAGTTCCCCATCTATGCTCTCATCACAGCCTCCAGACTTCAATCACAAAAACAGTAACTTTGATTAGTTAGTGTGTTTGTGTTGTTATGTGACTTTGGTAAATCCAATAATAATAATCAATGTCACACAATACTGCAAACAAACTAACTGATCAAGGCAGAGGTAGACCAGCAGCTCCTGTGTTCAGCAATGTAAATCACTGTTTTTCTCATTGGGGTCTGGCTTTGAAGAGAGCGATGGAACGGCTTAATTTCCCCATCAAAAATCGCTGTCTGACGGCATGGTAAATGTGCATAACTGATATGGATTTTTAGATGGGACTTCTTTTACGTGGCTAAAATACAGTTTGACCCCTCCACAGCAGTACATTGCTTTCCTGTATGCTTTTCCAAACTGGGGGCGTGCCGAACGTCATCTACTGTAGGTAATACACTGACTATGGATAAGTATCTCATACATCCTCACTTCAAAGTATCCGAACTATCTCTTTAAACTTGTATTTATTACAGCTGAGGCCTCAAAAGGTTCTTTATAGTCTTACAGTGCATCTGAGATAATAAATTCAGACCTAATTAATAACCGCTCAAAGTGTAACTTTATCTCAAGTCTCTTTATCACCTTCTTAAATCTCTTGTTTGGATAAAATCGTGACATCAGGCTGTTTTTCTTGCTAGTTAATGTGAGCAGCAGCTGAACGAACACAACATAGAGGAGATGACTTTCATACACGCAAGCAGAGCTCAACCATATGATTGATGAGGAATAGTTGACGAATGTGCTGTCATTAGCTATATACAATATATTGCCATTCATCACTGAGTCACCGCAGACTAATCAAGAAATGACCCAGAAATGCGTTCCCCTGCCCAGTGTTGTCATCTAAATCATGTCCGCATGAGCAGAGGATTAGCTCTGGGGTTAATTTGATTCTGACTGTAAATCATTTTTATGTCATGAGTTAGACATTGCTCAATAACTACATGAATAGTTAAAAATTGTTCTTTTAAGACACTGTAATGGTTCAGTAACAGGTCTTACCATCACAGATTGTCCTAAATGTAGTTTTTAAAGCCAATCCTCTTGTTTGAGCCCCACTGTGGCAAACAATCACAGCGGGGCTGTCATGTGAAACCATGTTCCTCCAGATTCCTCCCAATAAACAGAAGGACTTAAATATTTCTTTATGGGTTAATACAATTCTTCTGGTTTTAAAGACTTAAACAATTCAGAATCTACTTTGTGTGTGTACACATGACTCCGTTTTTCCTGTTACTCTTAAGATACTTAATAGAGGTGGGAATTACCAGAGGCCCCATGGTACGATATTATCACAATACATCAGTCATAATACAACATTATTGCGATTTAAAATGTTAATATAAAGTTAATATATTAACTTTTTAAACTGCAAATTATGTCTCCAGAGGAAAACTTTGTCAACACCTATTTTATCTAATAATCAATAAAAGATAGTTCTGTTCTGTTCATCTTACTTTGGTCATTTTTTTATTGCTGCAAAATGTATCTAGTGGACTGAAAAGTAGTATTTAGTTATTTCAGTAGGCTACCAAAAGATTAATTTGTATTTTCAATATTTTTATAATAAAAAAAAATCAATACTTGGCAGTGGTGTATAGATACACTAGTATCATGCAAAATATCACAATACTGTAACAGTGTATTGATTTTTCCCCCCAGTCCTTGTACTTATACCAAAAATAGACATACAGCTAAAACAAGGACAACAAAGTCGAACAAAGGTGAAACTTAACATTTAATTACTATGTACAGTGACTATGTACTATGAAATAAGTAAACAATAAGACAATAGTGCAGTGGTGCAGGGTGCAAAGGGTGCAAGAATAAATATGAAATGATTAATGTAACAGGTTGCTATATGAGGTAGGTGTATATGACAGTAGATACAGTGTATGTAGATTTATATTTGATAGTGATGATATTATCATTTAAAGGTTCAGTGTGTGAGATTTAGGGGGATTTAGTGGCATCTAGTGGTGAGGACTGCAGACTGCAACCAGCTGAAACCTCTCCTGGTGTTTATTGTTAAGGAGGTTTTTTTAAACCAGTAAAAACACTAAAAAAAAAGCAGTTTCACGTTACAAGTCAGTGCTTTACCGACACTGCTCGTTGCTATGGTGGCTGATGCAAAAATGTGAATTGCCCTACCCAGAGCCAAGTATGGTTTGTCTATTCTGGGCTACTGTTGAAACATGGCAGTGAAAATGGTGATCTTCATAAATGAGGACACGCTCCCTATGTAGATATAAACGCCTCATTCTATGGTAGGGAAAACACAACAATCCTTATTTTTAAGGTGATTGTACACAGAATAAAACATACCTATTATATAACATTCCATTTCTGCCAATATTTCCCCCTAAGTCTTACACACTGGAAATTTAAAACCTCACTGGGTTATCTGAGGACTATACACTATCACAAAGCTGAAAGCGGCTGTTCCCTTTGCTCATGAAAATTTGACGATTTGAAGATATGTGGTTTTTACAGTACAATAACAAACTCATAAACTTGGACCGTCATGTTTTTGTCATATGAAAATGTTGATGATGTTGACATGCCAGTGTTTGCCAGTGCAATGTAAATTTTGTTGGTTTCGTGTCTTTCTAGAGGAGACTGTGTGTTGTGGTAGTGAAGTAGAAAATCTCCTGTTATTCTGGTTGGGTGAAGCTCTGGCCTGGTGAGGTAATCACCAGTATTTACAGTCTGTCCTGATGCCTGAGGGCGCCACATCATAATGAGTCGACATTAGTAATTCAACACCACTCATGCATGTAGAGAAAAATGAAGGGTTGCAGAGCCAGGCCTCGGTATAATTCACTGTGAAATGTTGTGTTTGCTGTTCTTAAGATTGACTCTACCAGTGCCTTGTGCCTTCTGGTGGATTACATCAAGGCACAAAGTGGATGATGTAGTTTGTATTCAGAGCATTTCTAACTCCTCTTGTCATCCCACTACAACAGGTGTGGAGGATGAGCTCAGGCAATGGGACCAGGGGGAAAGTCCGCAAGCTGCAGCATTTCAACAACATGGTGGCGTTTGATGCCGAAACACTGGCTGAGATTCAAGGTCTTTTTGGTAAAATTAGAACCTACGTGAAACCTTCCAGTGGGGAGTGGTGCATCCCTGACCCAAATGTCGCTCTCAGACACCCTGCGGAGGAGCACGGTCGGCTGCAGGCCCTGAAGGCATCACTGAACGATGTAAAGAACCAGCTCAGTGACAAGAACGTTCAAGTCTGGCATCAGCACACCAACTTTACCAATCGAGCCGGGAAGGTGATCACCACCGTACGTTCTGCTGCCAACGCAGAGATCTGCACTCAGGCATGGTGCAAGTTCTTCGAGATCCTGGGAACCTTTAATCTTCTTCCAGAGGAGGCTCTTCAAAATGGAGAGCTGAACACAGTCCACCTGTGTGAAGCTCCAGGGGCCTTTATAACCGCTCTGAACCACTACATCAAAACCAGCGAGTCCACACGCTACGTTGACTGGAGTTGGGCCGCTAACACTCTAAACCCGTACCACGAGGCTAACGGTGGCAGCACGACGATCGCAGATGATCGGTTAATTGCTAACACGCTGCCCTGGTGGTTCTTTGGCTCAGACAACACAGGCAACATCATGATCCAGAAACATTTGTTGGAGCTGCAGGCGTTTGTGGCTAACATGCGTAGCGTTGATGTGGTGACGGCAGATGGAAGTTTTGACTGTCAGGAGAAGCCAGACGAGCAGGAAGCGCTGGTGGCTTCACTGCATTACTGCGAGGCCACAGCTGCACTGCTGCTCCTGAGCCCCGGTGGCTCCTTTGTACTGAAGATGTTTACCCTGTATGAACACTCCTCCGTCTGCCTTCTTTACCTGCTGAACTGCTGTTTCCGCTCTGTCAACGTCTTCAAACCCGCCACCAGCAAGGCAGGCAACTCTGAGGTTTACGTTGTTTGTCTGAACTATGACGGGAAGGAAGCCGTGAGGCCTCTGCTCTCCAAACTGATTCGTAACTACGGACCACAGCTGACTGACCGAGAGGCCCTTTTCCCAAACTCGCTTATCCCGGAGTCGTTTCTGAAACAGCACGAAGAAGTGTGCTCGTACTTCCACACTCTGCAGGTGGAGACGATCACAGAAAACCTGCAGCTGTTTGAGGGAATGAGCCCCGAGCAGAGGCAGCGGCTTGACTACATCAGGGACTGTATGGCTCAGGAATACCTGCAACGCTTCCAGGTAGGATGTCTGTGGAGACCATGAACTAGTAACTCAGCTTCAGTGTTCATTCTTGACCTTTTAAACAGCAGCTGAGAAAACCATCTCACCTAAAGGTCCATTTGTTAGCTGTTCTAGAGCTTTCACTCAAATCACATAGTCTTCATTAGCAGATGGAGTTTGCCCATTTGTCATGAAATTGTAGATGTTCAACTTTTCTTTTAATTTTTGGACAGTTAAGACACTTTTTATCTACTTTTTATTTTTTGGTTTCGGTCAATTTCAAGTCTTAAATTCAATTCAATTTTAAGTTATTCTAAATGGCCAGAAGAGTTTAAAAATGTGTACCTGATCTGAGCAGATGTATCAGCAACTGAACTCAGACCCAAAGAAAATGACACCAACAGAGCACAAGTCCAGGGGCCAGATGCATAAAACTTTTGCATGGCTTTTGCATTAATGCATCTGGCCCCAGAAGTAGTCATTCTTTGCTGCTACCTCCGTTTGTGTTAAACCCATGTAGAGCTTTTCCCTCTGTTCCCTTTTTCAGCTCTGCAGTAGATGAAGACCTCTGATTAAAAACTAAGTGGCCTTCCGTCGGTACATTACAGATATTAATTGCTTGGTTGACACGGTAATAGAGGTATAATGTGCTGGTAACTTGGCAGTGGCGTTCAAAGCAATTAAAGCTTTCCAAAGGTCTAGAATTGAACTTTAACAAGTTTCTCTGTGTGTGTAGGTGAGCTTCCTGCAGCGAAGTCGATGGATCTCTCGTAACACGGTGAGTCCCGCCTGCTGCAACGTCTCAGCAGGCCGACCTTTGGGACAGAAGAAGCAAACAGGCTCATTCAATGAGCGGAGGGAATTGCAGACCCTGACCTGGAGGGAGCGCATCGAGAGGGGTTGCCATGCCACCTGGATACAGAGACATTTCACAGAGGCCAGTGGGACAGGCTGCATGCTCGAAGGACCCCTGACTGGGTGTCATGTGGATTCATGGTATGTTATCATTGGGGCTGCACTTCCTGCAGTCAGAAACTCTCCGTTCTGTGAGGGAGGATTGTTAAACCACCTGAATGAAGCCCTGATGGACACAACAGTAGACTGGAATCGTGTGCCTCCCTGTAACTCTTGCCATGTGGCTTGCATGGCGTCCATCTTATCCGATGTTGCAAGTCTTTGCGTTTGTACAGCTGAGGGGAATGGGAACAAAAAGCAGAGACAGTGTTTGGTGTTTGGCAGCCGCACAGTGTGGGGTCCCTGTGAAAGCCAACTGGGGGATTTAGTCTTAACGTTTTCTGCAGAGCCTTCAGTTCCTCAAAGAGGCTGCATCACGCTGCATGACGGGGAGCCGCTGTACCAGCAGCAGCTCTTAGGTTGTGTTGTGTTTTCCCTGCAGACCCTGAACTCTGGGGATGCCCTGCTGCTCCCTGTGTTGTCTGCACTCACCCGCCTCACCGCAGCTGTTGTGCTCTGCCTGCATGTTTGTTTTCGCTCAGTCACTTTCAGGTGTCCGCCCCCCTCAGGCTTCGTCGGGACAGTGCTGGTGTGTGTTGGCTTCTGCCCTGATGCTGCAGCACGAATACTCCCCATTCTCACTGACGTCCATAACAGCATTGGTCAGTTGTTGAGAGGAAAGGAGGACTCAGGTAAAAATCTGCCGTCTGGGTGTGACAGACAGGTGCTGCAGTTTGTTCCCATGGAGGAACTGCTCAGGGGAGGACTGACTGAGTTCTTGCGGACCATGAACTCTGAAATCATCCGACAGAAGCTGCATTTGCTCATGCAATCATAGTGCAGTGTAGTGAGCTGTGACTGCGGGGTACATGCTATCTCTACAGAAGCTGTGTCATTATGTCGCAGTCTGTTTTATTCCCATTGAATGAGCAGACTGTTCAGCTACACCGAATCATTATTGTATGCACATACTTAAAGAGTGCTCCACAGATACAGCATTGCACTGCTTTAACATTGTCAGACTCACAGCGGACAGTTTCCACAATTGATGCAGCATAAGCCGAAACATCATCTTTTTTACTCCGTGCATTTTAACCACAATGCAACTCAACCATTCACACATTAATCAGAGGTTTGAGTGTGTTATTCTAGTAGCAGCTAATGTAGCCTCTAGCTGCTCGGCTCAAGCAGAGATGAGTGGTGGCTACAGAGGTTTGGTAAGCTCCACATCTCCAGATTAGTTTTCATTTTTAAACTTTTAGTTTTCAGTCCCAACTGAGTGCATAAATTGACATTATATGTGCTGATGTGTCTCTGACAAGCTGAAATTCGACAATATTATGTTGGTGAAGATTCTCAGTCATCTAGGTCATGGTAATCCGAAATGCTATATCATAGGCAACTGGACTTGCTTGAGTTTCTTGAAGACGTTTCACCTCTCATCCAAGAGGCTTCTTCAGTTTTGAACTGAGAACTGAGAGGTGAAACGTCTTCAAGAAACTCAAGCAAGTCCAGTCGCTTACGTTAGAGCACTTAGGACAGACAATATTAACCGCCACACCGATGTATCAGTTGGGCTTTGATGCAGAGGTCCAACCTGTGATGTTAGATCAAGGTTCCTGCGCATCCTTAGAAAGTTTTAAAAGGCAACGGAATTATTTATCTAAAAATAAGGCCTTGATTCAGTGTTTTTTATGTGTTCCACTCTAGAAAGTTTTATTTTTCTATTTAGCATTTATAGTTGATCATCTAAAAAAGTCATGTTTTATATTACACTAAACATTTGGGCAAAATTGTTGTTGTAAAATATGTTGATTCTTTAGCTTTTTCATCTCAGTTTTGGTTGTTGTTGTTGTTTGGTTGTCTTAAATTTCATACCAAGTGCCATTAAAAAAATCTTAAATTGACTTAAATCAAACTTGCCTAAAGCTGTAGGAGCTCTGTAAACACTGTAACGATAGCCTCCACATCACTAGTTAAAGACATCCTTATTATGTCAGTGCCAACAAAATAACCATGTGCTACACACAAAGCTTTTGTCAACCTGCAGGCGAGAACAACTGATGATACAAACTTGCAGTGCATGAAAATGCGTATTACTTTCAGGACTTGATCAGCAGAACTCATGTGTGACTGAATTCACAGAGGATTTTAGGGAGGGTGAATAAACAGTAGTCCAACCCTCGGCAGCAAACCTCCTGTCAGTCACAGATGGTTTGTGTCGAAATCCCTATCACAGAGACCCTGGAGTTTTACTCTGAAGTGCCTTTTGTGGTTTACAGCACATTATTTCATCCAAGGATGTTGAGGATCTTTTTGTATTTTGCTGTCATGCAGCTAATTGGTGGCTTCCTGATTTACAATTTATTTCACTATTTTGTGTCAAGTAAGAAAAATTCTGTCCCCATATTAAAGGGCAGCCTGTGTGCATTTATACTATATGAGCTACTAACTGAGGAGCTGTTGAGAAAAGAATCATCTATTAGCTTCAGTAAAAATATGCTGTATTTTGTATTTGTAGTTTTTTATTTTTGGTTTTTGGTTCATCATGTCAGTACAGTGTATTGAGGAATTTATTTTCTTACACAAACAGAATAAAAATGTGCACTAACAAATGACATGAAGTCTAAGTTTTCTGTTCACCGAGGCATCTGAGAGGTCTCAATATCACGTGGAAATCTGTATATTGGTTGAAGCCTGGGCTGCGTTCAGCCCCGACAAAACGTAGCAAAACATTTAATTAAACAGAGAAGGTGGTGCCTTAAACATGCTGTTTTGTTTTACGATGGCACTCTGCTTTTTAATATGGTGGGGTTTAATTCAATTTTAATCAAAGGAACTGTATTGGCATGGGGAACATACTGTATGTAAAGATTGCTAAAGCAAGTGTGAAATTAAAATAAGAATTATACAATAAGGATGGATCTGCTAGAATTTGGTTAATGTAAATGTCACTGCTGACTGCTGACACCCACCAAACAAGAAAACTTACCTCAAAGCCTTTTTCAAACTGTTTTGAGGAAATGTTCCATCTGGAAAATGTAACTAAACAGTGCACATCATCATCATATTCAGTTTTCAAATGTTCAAAGTGACTGAATAACCCTCTTTGAAATAACACAATGTGCTAGAGTCAAATTTAGGACTGATATGAAGAATAGTTCATTTCATTTCCTGGCTGAATTCTGATTATTCAAAAGAAATTCAGCAGTTTTACAAGAAAAGCTTGTGATTTATTTCTGTGTAACACAGTAGAAAATATCTTCAGATACTGTTTCAGAAACAAAGCTGGAAGTCTATTGCCTCCTGTATATCCTGGCGGGCCGTAATGTTCATCTGGGTTGTTCATTAGACACTGGAACACAAAGCTGAAAGATGGATGAAAACTGGAGTGACACCTTTGCTATTCTTAGATCCTCAGCAGATGCACTTCTCATGCAGGTGCACTGGAGAAGACTTTTATTGATCCAACACTAATTTCAAGCAATTCCTTGATTCTGAACTCTCGTGGGGTCTGTTGTCTGTCTGATGGTCATCTGAGGACATTTCGGACTTAAATACTCAGCTTTTATCACTGACTAGTGACAGCAAGTGCTCAAGATATTTATATACATATTTAAATAGAGTAATAGACCACTTAACAACTCTGCAAACTACTCTGAACCTTTAAGGTATTGACCCAAATAACCCAGTGCCAAGAAGTATTGAAACTTCTCCAAATATCTGCAATCAGTCCTTTTTGTACCGAGGTCTAGAAAAAAAGTCGGTAAGCAAGTGTTCTTAGATTTATGCGTTATTGGCCCATTACTGCAGCAGCTCCAACTCATAGTTTGGGAGTGGTGAAGTCGAGTGCAGTGCATGTAAGGAGTTGTTTTTACAGCTATTTAATAATTTGAACACTTTATAAATCTATTTGTATGAAAATCGTGGATGGGGAGGAGTGACAATGGCCTTAAATGAAACAGAATGCTTCCATTTTCATGATGGGTATAGAACGGCGTACTCTTTTGGTATCAGTATCACATTAAGGGTACTGGTATTGGTACATATATAATAATCTTTGAAATGCTAACTAGCCCCAATTATTTTATTACTATAATTGTACTGCTGATTTTAATAATTGAGTGTCGGTGAAGACTTAATATGTGCATTTACAACACGTTCTAATTGTCAGTGAACGAACACATCTAAACATGACACACTAGGTACCCTCCTGTGTCAGTTTTGGACGACACTGTGTTGACTTAAAGTCATTACATGCTTTGTGTCTTTTCAAAATATGCTTCCGTCTTCACAGCAAATGTTCAGTTTTTGCTCGTTACATGCATAAAGTCTTTCAAAATAAATAATGTAGGAAAAACGCTTTGTTTTTTTGGTTTGTTTCTTTGGGTTTCTTACAACAAAAGCGTGTGCTTAGGTTTAGAAGACAACATCATGGTTTGGCGTTAACTTAAACATGGGAAACGAACAGCGGGCTCCTGGTTGAAAGTCCAAAGTTTGTTGGACTCACTCACTCACCCTCCCTTCCATCCATCCTATAAACAGATTTTCACGCTCTTTATATTACAGTAGTTGCCATCGGCATTAGAAATTGCCGCTGCCCAGTACATATACTGCTGAGGGGTACTTCTGTGTGTCTGCGTCTGATTCCGACGTCCATTAACAAAGTCAATCAATCAATCAATCAATCAATTTTATTTATAAGGCCCAATATCACAAATCACAATTTGCCTCACAGGGCTTTACAGCATACGACATCCCTCTGTCCTTTGGACCCTCGCAGCGGATAAGGAAGAACTCCCCCCAAAAAAACCTTTAACGGTGGAAAAAAAGTGCTGGTATTTGTTAAAGTATAAGTTAGGTTGTTGCTTGCTGCCTCTAAAACTGACGCTCTCGGTGCGTATCATACCGCCGTGAGAGGAACCCTGTGTGTCAGTATCTGATACTGACATCACTGATAAACAGTATTATTTGGCGAGATGTGTGTGAGAATGGCTGGCATTTATATATAAACATATTTATATATGTATGTACGTGACAATTCAGGTGCATCGTGAAATGCAGGCAAACTATTATGTAGGCTTTTGCAGGTTTGAACTTTCAGTGAGTTTCAATGTGATTTCAGAGTGAGCTTGATACAGTAGTGAGGACTAAGAGCCTGTACGGTGGCACTGCAGATATACAGTACGTTGGCACAGCCTGCTGTTTGCTGATGTACTTGTACATATGGTGGTCCTAATTCAGTCGGACTCTGAACTGAGTCTCTACTCGAGGGCTTGCCAGGGATTATGCCACTAGAAGTAATGTGATTATATTCTGTGTGTCTGTTAATGTGAGATAACAGTTGTAACTGTCTTACATACCACAGTTATATCTCAGCTGCTTTACTTTGTGTAACGTCAGGAATTGGTGGATACGTTTGGTAGATTTTTAATTAGTACAGTGCCTGCAGTGCAGACAGAGCTGATAACTTGCAGTTCGATTAAACCAGGATTCCTCAGCATCTGTGAATTAAGAGAAGAGGCAGAATCTCCTGCAGCATGCCTTCACCTCCAGCACCTGCTAATGAAAAGCTGACCAGATGTTGGATGATGAGATGGAAGTGATCCTGCCTGCAGAAGCTTAATTTCACATGATAGACAACACTCTGCTCTTGTCACTGTGTGTTCTAACAATAAAACTAACCAGGAACTCAAAGATACAGAAAAACTCATCATGTAGCCTCAGTGGTAAAGGTACACTGTGCAGGATTTTTGGTTACTGTTTGTGTTTTTCTCAGTGCTTTTTCTCTTGGATGAGCTCACCTGAGCGTTGTGGGAGTACACGCCTATAAAGCACAGAAAATAAGAAGAAATTAATAAAAAAAAAACAGACAGAGGGCAGAGTCTCTGCAGAAAAAATACACCACCACACACTTCTAATGGGTCTTAAGTGATGACTATTTAAGTTACTCAATCCACATTATGTTGAATTTATGAAGAAAACTTTTTCCCTGCATGCCTCCGCGGTGACAGTCTTGCATATAAGTGTTTTAAATTGTAAAGTTTTGCCGAAAATGCATGTGCTGCAAGTTTTGTTCACAAATTTAGCGTAATGCTGGGTGAGAAATTGATATACAAATGATCATTTGAGGGGTGAAGTAATTGGTTTAAGGTGGGATGGAAACATAAAACACAAAACAAGCTCTCCCCCCAGTTGGTCAAATGAGAGATGACTTTTTGTTTTTGCCAGTTTGGTTGTTGTCCCCTGTGTTCAGTCCTGATATGGGTTAGTATTTTGGGTCAACTCTGTCACACAAAAACTCACCAGAGGGTTTTTTCATTAGGAAGTTTAATACCTCCAGAGTTTCTGATGTGATTTTGTGGATTACAGTTGAAAAGTGGATCAGAGAAAATCACAAAGTCACATTTCACTAATCTCTCTGTTTTGTCCGACGCTTGTCTGACTCCAGCAACACCAACCACCCACACAACCAATTAAATCAACCAGATTAATACGAAATGATTTCCTCACATGCAGACCAGGATGAGACAGTGGACAGGTGCTGTGTATAGGAAGTCTTTTGTGTGTGTGTAGAAGAGAGACAGAGACAGAGTGAGTGTGTGTGATTGAGTCAAGTGATTGGGTTGTATTGTGTACCAGAAATGTAATCTGTCCTCAGTGCAATATTCCTCTGTGTCACCGCTCTGTGTGCTGACTACAGTCCAATCTCTGTGGATGAAGTAATCAGATGGTGAACTTGTGAACTCTCTTCTGAAGTCAGCACAAGTATACAAGTATGTGTAGTGATGAAATGTTAGTGTGTCAGTCTCCCAGCCAACATTTGTATGTGGGGCCCATGTGGGTATAAAATGGGCTGAAAAATGGACCCTATATTGATCCGTCCACAGGTTCTATGTTGACCCCATGACATTTGGGTTTACCCAAGTGGGCTCCATATTGGTTATGCTAGGGCTACTTGGGTAGCAACTGTGATGGGCCCAAAATGGGCACCTTATCTGGGGCTTACCTGGGTAAACCCACCCATGTGGGCAATTGGCATGGAGTCAATGTGGAACCCATGAACAGTCCCATATAGGGCCCATTTTCAGCCCATCTACTACCCAAATGGGTCCCACATACAAATGTTGGCTGGGGTATGCTTTCACAAAAAAAGAAAACTGAATAGTAGAGACATTATTAAGTGTTCAGATGGTAAATACGAGGAAAAGAAAGCCAATAATGAGTCATTGCATACAGACAATAATGAAGCCTCAGACAAATAGTGACAACAGCACATAAATGTCAGTGTACAGTTAACAAAATGCAATAAAAGCTCAATCTATGGCTGATATAAATGTTCTGTTGAGTCTTTGATTCTGTTTTTGTTTTCACATCACTGCTGAGTGGAGACTCGCCACTTGCCACGCTCTGCTGTCCACAGAGAGAAGACGCTGACAGATCAGGCGAAGTGAAACTCTCGTTATGTAATGAAAATAAGGCAGCAGGACAGGAAACTTGTGAGGAAAAGCTGTGCTCCCCGCAGAGCACGATGTGTTCATCAGAGGGATTCAGCTCAGTCAGTCAGTCGTCTCTGTGTGATCTCATCTTAACAGACGCTGTCTTGCTTAT